CCTTCACAATTTGGGGAGCACTTACATTACAGTGGGTGGTCTTATCACTACTGTAAAGTGATCCCCTCGTCGTCGAAGTTAGAAAAAAGAAAGAAAAATAAGTTTTGTTTTGTTTTTCTTCGGTGGTAGAATCATCATGGCCCCACTGCTGTTCGAATTTGGCCCGCGCTCAAACATTTCCGTCCATTTTCCGATGTATTGGGACCATTTTGGCGCCAGAAAAACTCAAGAATGGTGGGGTAGTGTGGTGGAAGTACATACAGATGAAGTTTTGGTGAACCTCTTCCACCGAAAGGATAATCATGTGCTTGAGAGGTATCACCCGGATGTGGTGAGATGGTGGAAGATCGCAGATCTGAAGGGGATCCGGGTATTTCGTGACCAGGAGGAATGGGTAGCGTTCTGCCCAGAAACCCCGCTCGCTGAACTCCCCCTCGACCCGGAGGAGTGGCAGTGGAACCCGGCATGCAAAACAAGGCCGGGCGCGGGCAAAAAAGCATTTAGCCTGTCAGTGAAAGCGACGCACAGACTCTTGAGGCCAAAGGTCAATCTCAAGGAAATCGCGAGGGAGCGTTGGATGCGTCACCTCAACGCGCGAAGAGACGCCGTCCGCTGCATCCAATGGTTCACGGTTACAAGATCTAGACCTGCAAAGTTGGCCTCACTGCAATGACAGATAGAACACCGCTGCCTTCCTACAAATGATTGGTTAATAGATCGCACTTACCTGGAGCAAAAGGGCTTCACATTGCAATGGTGCAAATCCCGTTATACTGCCTTTCCCCCCCGTAAGATTCCCGAAACCATGGAGCATATATATTCCTGCAATGCCCAGGGGCGCTCCTCACATGGCGCTGGTGGGACAGGGTTCGGAGCCAACTGGGTACTGAGTCCACCTGGCCATGGGACTGGAGAGCGCTTCTGTGCCAAGCATGGACCTCACCCATGAACAGCACCTTCGAGGATAAAATGTTTATTAAACCACCAGTACTTGGCCCAGCTATCGGCCGCGGCGCTTTCCCGTTAACGCGCCACGCCTTTAGGGCTTCGGGGTACCGGACCACAATGGCTGGAAGCGCCAGCCAATTTTTTTTTGAAACGGTACCCCGGCGCTTCGGCGAATATCGGCGCGCAGGGGCATTCCAGGCTCGACATCGATAGCTGGGCCAAGTACTGGTGATTTAAGACGGGGAGAACAGAAGTCATTTGGACCCTCTGGAGAAAACGGTGCATTCATGTTATCGAAGATGTCGGTGTAGAGGGGGAGCAAGTCACGGAAATGGTAAAACAACACATTCAGCAAGAACTCACAGCACATTGGCAGAAAGTGAAAACTCAGCTGGATCTTTTCCACCCGAAAAAAAGACACAACACAGGCTATCAAACAATTCTCAGGGGATTGGCTGGGGAGTGAGCAGGGGGACTGGATGGCATGCATTGGATGGGAAGGTGGGCACCTCCAGGAGTATGGTCAGGATGACTTCAGAAGAGACTACACCATCTGCTTCAAGGACTCGACTCTGGTGGACCCCGCGGTTCTGCTGCGTCCCCCCTCGCAGTTCCCTGATCCCTTTTCGCCCCCCAATCTCTCCATGGTGGACATGCAGTGGTATGGAGCGGACTACCGGTAAGCAGGGCCACAGCTTGAAAAATGCAGAGTTTCAGGCGGCCAGCAGGCTGAAGAGGCAGTGGAGCCTATGGCTAATTGTCTATTAATTGTTTCTTTAATTTAGCCGAGGTCCTTTTTTAGCCTGCTCAGTCAATCCCCTGGGTAGCAGGGTAATCAATGCTGGCAGACTCCACAGATATCTTTTTTCTGGGACGCTGGACCCGGTTTCCAGCAGGTGAACACTCCCCACCAATAGATGGAGCATTTTTCCAAACAATAAATAAATAAATAATAATAAATAAATAATAATAATAATAATTTATGATAATATTATAATAATAATAATATAGCCGAAGCTGGGTAGTGGCCCTGGTAATGGGCTTATATGGTGCGGTATATGGGTGGATGGGACGCTGGACCCAGTTTCAGCAGGTGCTGCTCCCCACCAATAGATCGGAACCACCTGTAGCAGGAGCTGTTAGAGGGGGATGCTCAATGTTCATATCGCCCCCTCTAGCACCCGGCACGGAGTTTGTTCAAAAAAACAAAAGAAAGAAAAAAAGAAGCACGGTACAAAGTGGAGCGAGAGTCTTTTTTGTCTTTTTTTCCTGCAGCTGGAATCATCATCACCCTGCTTCAGCTTTCCTGCCCGTTTGAAGCTGGGCGGCGCCAGCGCAGAGGTCCGCTTTCCAATTCCCATTTTTTCCAGGGCATCATAGATCTGATTTGGAAAACGCTGCTTATCAGAGAGCCGATATTCGAGAATGTCAGAATCGGGTCCGGTTAAGTTGCGACATGGCGTTGCACCCCACCGGAGGAACTGTAAAAGAGTGTAGCAAAACACATAGCCAAATGCACTGCATCCAACACCCATACCAAATGAAGGCCCCCCACCCCCCAATCGAGCAGAGGACTCGGAGGGGAAAAAACAAAGAGAAAACCACCAAACACTAATTTGCATTGGATGACGGCATATGAGGCATTCATGCCCTCATTGTTCGGTCCTTATTTAAGGACTTCATTTACTTTCAAAAAGTGCCCACCCAGTTTGGTCAAGGCACTTCACAACAATGCATGCAGAACCAATGGGCACAACTCAGTTGGTACACCCATGAAATGCATGTTGGAATACAGACCTGCGTTCGAATCCGAAGAGAACGAGATGAATGAAAAAAATCTGATTTACCTGGGGCTGGTCAATTCTGTGAGGAACGAGCCCTCAAGTAGGGGCCTTGCCATGATGTACATGTTCTGGGCTAAGGCCCCAGCAAGCCTCGTGCCCGCCCTAAGTGAAGGCG